GAGGCAGGACGGGCCGTGGGGGGTGATTGACGCTCGAGGCCCCTGCGGCCGCGCGCTGACGCGGAGCCCCGTTTATAACCCGGGAAACAGGCCTGGAGAGCCTGCTTAAGAGATATGCGGCGCGGCCGCCGGCCTCCATCCGCAGTCGGTGGCAAGTGTGGGGCCGAGTGGGGGAAGCAGTGCAATGGCCAGGCGGTGTGGACCAGGGTGCTCGAACCTATTCCGTGAACACGAGAGAATCGCTGGGCGGAGGTGGGACCTTCATTCACACCTGGGTTCCCAGGACCCGCCCACAGAGTTCCTAACGGGGTTCAGGGAACCTGCCTTGGCGTGCGCACCTGGGGAATTTTGATGTGGATAATCTGTGGCCCACATGTTGGAGGAGCATGGGCCAGTCAGACTTGGGGTTAATCCCTCTGCACTTCTAACCTCCCCCTAAGATCCCCAAATGGGTCCCCACCTTCTTTGCGGCCCTGCATACATCCCCCTGATCGTGAGGCGCTATACAAAATACCCCGTGTACGTTGGGCAAGTTATTTAACTTGTTACTCTCTCGCTAAAGTGAGCGTAATGATGGTACCTAGTTTATGGTGTTAGGAGGATGCACCTGGATGGTCACAGAAAGTAGAAAACTGACAGCAAGAGCTCAATAATGTTAGCCCTGAAGAAGTAATGTATCTTTTTTTAATGGAACTCCCATCTGACCCAGTGATCCCACTTCTGGGAATATATCCCAAGAAACCAGAAACACCAATCAGAAAGGACATATGCACCCCTATGTTCATAGCAGCACAATTCACCATAGCTAAGATTTGGAAACAGCCTAAGTGCCCATCAGCAGATGAGTGGATTAGAAAACAGTGGTACATCTACACAATGGAATACTATGCTTCGGTAAAAAAGAAGGAATTCTTACCATTTGGAACAGCATGGATGGAACTGGAGAGCATTATGCTAAGTGAAATAAGCCAGTCAGAGAAAGATAAATATCACATGATCTCACTCATTTGTGGAATCTAATGAACAACATAAACTGATGAACAAAAACAGATCCAGAGACAGAGAAGCATCAAACCTCAGAGGGAAGGTAGGGGAAAGTGGAGGTAAGGGGAAGAGGTCAACCAAAGGACTTGTGTGCATGCATATAAGCCTAACCAATGGACACAGACAACAGGGGGGTGAGGGCATGAGTGGGGGAATGGGGGGATAAGGATACATATGTAATACCTTAATAAAGAGAGAAAAAAATTTATAGATATTTTTCTACTAAAAATAGTATATTTTCCCCATTTCTCTGTCTAGTTGCTTATTACTAGGCCAATAAAACAAATTAATATTATATTTCTATCTTATATTCATACAGAATTCTGTTATTGTGGTCCCTAGTTTTGTAGATAAATGAAATAAACATCAGCAAATGAAAACCAAAAAAAAAAAAAAAAACGTAATGTAAGCTCCTCAGCTCCAGGCTGTAAGCTCCTCAAGGTCAAGAACTCAGCTTTTTCATTCTTGTGGCTCCATCACTACCTCAGCTATCTGACAGCACTGTCCAGTAGAACTTTCCAGTGTGGTAGCCACTAGCCACATGCAGTTATTGAGCACTTGAAATGTGGTTAGTACAGTTTTGGAACTGAATTTTTTATTTTACTTAATTTTAATAAATTTAGATAGCCACCTGTGGCTAGTGGCTACCATACGGGTCAGCAAATGCTTGTTGAGTGGAAAAAAGAATGAATGCATAGTATATGGGTCCAGGTCGGAGAGAATGATGAATTGAGAGAAGTGGGAAATACAGAGGAGGAAGAGAACAGTGGGCTCAAGAGTGGTAAATGCCCTCAAAGGCTGTCCATTCTAACCCATCCAGTGCTCGCGTTCCTTCTCTGTGCATACGTTGCATTATATTCAGAAAATCTTGTACCCATTGGTCCTTAGCTCCTTGGTGCTAATCACTCTACCCTAAAGAATCCAGTCAGATGTTTGAACGTTGTTATTGTGGCTGTCTTTTCCCCAGAGCTTTCCATTTTCAGAGCCAAATAGCTCTTCATAATACAGTTTGCTAGTGGTGTTTTGTTAGAGAAGCTGCGCAGCTTCCCCTATGAGAGAGGAGTCATCCTTGTACCCCCTGTTGTGAGGGTTAAGACGGTGTATGCAGAGGAGCTCAGCAGTGTGCCCGACATTTTAGAAGTGCTCAATACATATGTGCTGTTGTTGACAAAGAAACATGCTTTGCATTGTGTTTTAGAATCGTGAGATTTATTTTAGTCAAACAGGCCTGTAGGGAGAAAGCAAAGAGGAAGGGTGCTCTCTGAAAAGCAAGGGACTTGATAGAGTTACAGCATGAAGTTAACGAGATCAAGATGGTGAATTGTACACACTGGCACACTAATGACTATTATAATTAGAGGAATAAGCCCAATTTCTTAAAACATTCTAACAAGTGCAGTTTTCTATAACAAACATAGTAAATTTAGTTTCTCACAACAAACATGAGAAATAGGATTTGGGGGAAATCCTATCTTCGAGGTAAGTATTACATTCTGTTAGGAAATATACATTTAAAAAGCAAATTCCCTTCCCTAGTGATGTTGCTCAATGGTTAGAGCATCGGCCAGCACAAAGAAGGGTCTCGGCTTCAATTCCTGGTCAAAGACATGAACCGTGCCTGGGTTACAGGTTAGATCCTGGAGGGGGGGCGGGGTTGCGTGCAGGAGGCGATCAATCGATGCTTCTCTCTCTCTGTACCCCTCCACTCTCTCTAAAATATCAATGGAAAAAATATCCTCAGGTGAGGATTAACAACAACTAAAAAGAGTACACTGGCTGAATAAATGTGGCACATAATACTTGTAGCAGCCTTGAAAGATTCAACATAGTGGGCTCTCAGTAAGTATCAATGAATGAATCAGTAGGTCAAGGGTCAAAAGTAATTTTCCATACTGTTTGGTTCATTTATTCATTCATTCAGAAGTATTCTGTGGGAATATGATGGTGAGCACAAACAGACCCAGGTAATTTAGTCACAAAACACACAGTCTATTAAAGAGATTTTTACAAATTTCAAAAAAGGGTAAAAATAGTATGAGTTGTTAAGAAAAAGGACACTGTTACAAGGTTCTAGGATGATTTGACCTAGTCTAGATCTAAAGTAAATAAATGTGTGTATTACATATGCATATCAGTAAGTACATTGGAAAGATTAGGTTGGACCTTTGCCAAATCTAACAAAGGCTGTTGGTTGTAAAGACATTATGTGTGATTTATACTCTTCACATGACATCTCTGTATTGTTTGGAATTTTCTTACAATAAGCTCTGGTAATCAGATAAAGCTATAGAGCTATATATATCTTAAGTTCAGATAAATAGCTTTCACACTATTTTGGTGATTCTCAAAAGGTTGGGGAAAGGGTGAATCTGCATGCTTGTTTGAAAGGGAAAAAAAAGTGGTAGAGCTAGAACTACTGTGATGGGCAGTATTCTTAGTGGCCCAGCCCCAAAAATTCCCCTAGTGCTGTGGTCGGCAAACCTCGGCTCGAGAGCCACATGCGGCTCTTTAGCCCCTTGAGTGTGGCTCTTTCACAAAATACCACGTGCGGGTGCGCACGTACAGTGCGATTGAAACTTTGTGGCCCATGCGCAGAAGTCGGTATTTTGTGGAAGAGCCGGTATTTTGTTCACTGAGTGCACTTACCTCCCAATTAGTTGATCAGTCGCTAATCTAGACATTGCTGTTTAGAGACTTTTCAGAAGTAATTAAGTCTGTAATCAGTTGACTTTAAATTAGAGAGATCATTATAGGTGGGCCTGACCTAATCAGGTGAGCACCTCATCTAAGAGATTGAAGCAGAAGACACTTCTGCTTGCCTGCAGTGAGCGAATGACCACGTAAACTGCCCTGTGACAAGGCCCTGAGCGCAGCCTCTAGGAGCTGAGAGCAGTCCTCACCAACAGCCAACAAGGAAATGGGGACCCAGACCGACAGAAACTGAATCCTGCCAACAACCATGGCGCTTGCCGAGGACCCAGCCCTCAGATGAGGTCACAGCCAGGCCCAACACCTTGGTCTCAGTCTCCTGAGCCCTCACCCACACCCAGACTCCTGACCACAGGAGCTGAGCTAATACATTTGTGTTGTTTTAAGTAAGTTTGTGATAATTTGTTATTTTGGGAATCAAAATTGCTTATCACCTGCCACCTGGTATACTTGTCTCCAACCTGATACCTAGGAATTTTTTAAAAAATGTTTTTGCTTAGAAATGCTCTACTGTCCTTTAAGGAACTAGATAATGAAATAAAACTTGTGTCCAGGACAACTATATTTCATTAATATCCTCTTGCCCAGAAACTTTGTTTTCTCTCATCAGTGCAAAGCAACTATACAACATTGACCTTTCCAGAAATACTTGTGTCAGTCTTTCCTGGAGGTGTAACTAAAATGGCCGTGAGCATTTTCTGCCCTCTCTCAGCAGCGTCACCTGCAGAGCACGTGTGGACTGTTCTGTGCAGGAAGCTCTCCAACAGGTGGGCTGTGATCAGCCTTGAAACCTGGCAGTAGTACTCCACCTCACTGCGTATGAGAACCGCCTGGAGAACTTTAAAAGCACTGATTCCCAGGCTCTTGCTCCAGACCTATTAGTACTGAATCAAAATTTCTGGTGTTGGGCCAAAACAGTAGTTTCAAAAAGCTCCCAGGTGATTCTGACGTGCTGCAAGGATGAGAAACTGCTGGCGCTTACAGCAGAACTTCTCCAGCGTCAGTGTGGGCACAATGCAAGCCCCCTGGTCTTATTAAATGCTGGTTAAGTCCAGCAGGGCTGGGGTGGGCTTGAGATGCAGATTTCTAGCTCCCAGGGATGCAGGTGCTGCTGGGTCTGGCCGTGCTCTGAGTAGTGAGGGCTTATGGGTTGGCTTTTCCAGTTATGCACGGGGTCTTCCCTCTGCTGCTGCTTCTGCCCTGCCCTCACGTGTTCCTCCTTTTCTCTCCCCTCTCCTCCCTGGATGCTGTTTTCTTCCTAGGACCCTCCTCATTCTCTTGTAGTTACATAATTGGGGTCAAAATCTAAAGTCGTACTCTCAGGAAAAGTCTTAAACTCTTTACATAAAGCCTGGACTCTTCACACAAGTGAATAATTATCTCATTCATTTTAAATAAGGTACTTCACATTAATTATTAACTTGTAATGGCCAGTTATTTTTCATTTCTAAAAACCCCCAACCAAGATAAAACAAGAATTTTTACTTAGAGGAAAGAAAATTACATCATAAACTGCAATTGAGTATGGAATTGATGGTTTGCACCCACTCCTTTTAGAGTATGAAGCTGAGCTGCCTCCCTTCCCAGAGGGATACAAAATCAAACAAGAAGCCGTGATTACCGTGAGTATTGCCCCACCTGAGCCTTCAGTGAAAAGCTCTCAAGTGAGAACAGTACTGATAGCTGGGGACTGTCACACAGTGTCATGAGTTAGGAAAGACACTGGAGCTAGAACCAGGAACATGGGCTAGTCCTAGCTCTGCTTCTAGCAATGTGACTTGAAGGGCACTTCATAACCTCTTAGGCCTCAGTTTTCACATCTGTTAAATGGATCAGGTAATCCTTGACTAATTCACAGTGCCTCTGTGTGGCTCAAATGAGATCCTGGGTAAGAAAGGCCTTTACAGTGGAGTCACCACATGTCCATGTTTGGGACAGTTGCATAGAGAGCAGTTTTCCCCAGGCGTGCCCAAGGAGGCAAGAAGACAACTGCATTAAGGAAGGAGGGCAAGAGCAGCAGCCTGGAAGAGAGGCCCTCGTGCAGTCTGCTTGGAGCAAATAGGAACTTAATGGAGTTTAAAATAAAGCAAGACCCTGAGAGATGAAGGGACTTCAGCAGAGTCACAGGAATGGACCCAAACCTAAGACTAGATTTCCAGTCCACTACTACAGCTGCTGCTGTCACAGAACCTTGTCTAAGAACTGTCTTGGCCTGAGATTGTTCTTTTTTCAAGGTGTCCTGTTCTTGCTTTATGGATGCACTGTTTCTCACATTTCTCTGCAGATACTAACCACAGTCCCTTCCCTGAATTATTTGTGCTTCTTCCCGGGTCAGTTGTTCTTTGTAGATCTTGATCTTTGTCGTTTATGCTGTTGATGTTCTTTATCTGTGTGGGAAGCTTTGACTATTTATTCAGAATTTAAAATGGGGGCCCGAGTGGATTTTTCTATCTGGCTGGTATGGTTTTCTTCTGTTGTGCAGATAGGTTTGTTTTCTAGATACATCTGTTCTGTGAGTAGAATCACTGGCTGAGCGCTCCCGGGGGGTTTCTGACACTGGAAGACTTTTATTCAGGGTCCGCAGGCAGGGAGCCTCCAAATGAATGGTCAATTTTTTTTAATCTTTTGACCACCAGCATGGCACCCTCAGTAGTTCTACTCCTTCCAAGGCTGTTTTTTAAATTTGTTTTTAGAAGAGCCATTGGAAAGGAGAGCTGGATAGAAAATGCTGCTGTGAGCCCAACTTTACACATATTGAGGGGGCAGAAGCCAGCAGAGGGGAAATGTGGGCAGCAGACCAGTGGAGGCCCAGCCAGATTTTCACTTAACCCTCTCGTTCATTACCATCCCCTTTTCATGCTCACCCTCTGAAGACTTGAACCCTGAGCATGAAGCCCTTGGGAATCCTGGTGGGAAGACGGACTCCCATCCTCTGGGCAGTTTCAGACTGTGGATTCTGGGCGGCTGCTTTCCTTCTCTCTTACCTGATGACAACTTTAATTCCTGTTTCTTCTGGAAATGTTGGCACATCTCTCATCCACTGATGGTCCTCGTATTCTTCTCTCTATTAGAGGAGTATTCTTCGTTTGCCATTTATGTGTCTCAGGAGGGAAGAAATCTAAGACTTGTGCTTAATATGCCCCCTAGAACGTAAAGTCTGATGCAGAATTGTATTCCTGTGTTAGGTTATAAAAGAAAATGCAATTATTTAAGCTACAGTGGGGCCTTGAGTTTTTTGAGATACCAGCTGTCTCTCGGCCGATTTTTTGCATTGAGTTGATAGAGTAATTTAAGTTACCGAGCTCCTTAACGAGCTCGGTCTTGGAACAAATGAAACTCGTAAGTCAAGGCCCCACTGTATTTACATGAATTGATTTTCCCCACTCCCGCAGGTTTCACCAATGGAAGAAACACTTTTCCGTGGCTTCAGTGCAGAGCACCGTTACCCATTTCCTCAATGGGCCACAGACTCACACATACCTTGCACTCAAATCAAATTGGAAACAATTGATCCCAAAACCTGTAAGTAAGGAAGATTTCCTCTTTCCTAGTTTGGAGTTTGTAACATTGCAAAACCACAAGGTGGGGTTGGGATGGACAGACAGAGAGACTACGTAAATAACAAATGTGTTCTTGTTTTAATTATTAAAAGAAGTAGCCTTGTTCCATTGATTTATCTTTAAGGTTGAAATATAATGATGATAAGTAGCTAGCATACTCTAATTCTGTGTTAAATACAGAAGGGCAAAAATGTGAGAAGTAGAAGAAAATACCATGCTGCCCTGCTTTGTAGGTTGAAGCCTCCTGCCTGTGCCCCAGTTCCTCTGGGCCTCCTGGGGCCAGGACCTCTCCTACTGCTTTGTTCTGTTCTCTCTGCTTTGGGCCTTGGCAATCAGCGCCATCATGACCGTGGCCATGGGGCTCTCTCCACTGTACCCTCTGTTCCTCTCTGACTTTAGTTCCCCCCACGTCCTGTGCTCATTTCCCCAGCCTCACTGGCCTGGCTGTGCCTGTGGCCCTGGCCCTGTGTAGTGCCTGGCCTGAACCCTCATTGGACTACAGAGGTGCCCCACTCAGCAGCCTCAAGTAACACTGAAGGCCATGTTATTTCCTGGACAGTTCTTTTTCTGGTTCAGAAGTAAATATTTCTCCCAGATTAACTTGGTCATAAACCCTGAGAAAGAAGACACCTACTAAAAGGGTTCCCAATAACTAACTGGGCTCAAATGATAAAAGCAGAGTCCAGCCCCCATTGCTAAACAGGGGCCTCTCACACAAGCCATGCTTTAGGGAGAAGATTGCACTGAAATGCCTACCTCCACACTGAACTGCCTACCTGCACTGTTTCTGCTAACTCTTATAAAGGAGTTCCTGGGATCCTATTTCAACCCATAGCACTGAGGCTTTCCCCTTACAACTGGAGCTGTGTAGCCCCCACCAACCAGACCAGCTCTATTCTGACCAATCAGGGCAGTCCCTTTTGGACTAATCAAATGACAAGGATTTGGATCCCTCATTTGCATGAGGACAGACCAATCAGGGATCAGGGTCTGGGACTTTTGTCTATAGAAGCCCCTCTGGCTCTAAGAGCCCACTTTCCCTTTACACAGAAGGCTGAGTGTCCCCAGCTGAGTGGAAACACCAACGATGTCTCACCTGAGCAGTGCAGAGCAGAGCTGTCTAGCCAGAAAGGGACCTGGCCCCAGGCTGCCCCACAGCTATGCTGTATCACAATTGTTTTGCACTGAATAAAGTTTCCTTCACTGCACCCCCAAGGACCATCAGGTTGACAGCCCTTTGGGATCTTCAGCTGGGCATCTTATTGTTTGTTTCAGGTTCCCCCAAAGAATATTTGGAAACGTTCATCTTTCCAGTTCTGCTTCCCGGTATAGCGAGCCTGCTTCACCAGGCAAAGAAAGAAAAATGTTTTGAGGTCAGTGGTTTTATTTCTTTACTAGAGGCCCGGTGCACAACATTCGTATACTGGGGCTGGGGGGAGGGTCCCTCAGCCCAGCCTGCACCCTCTCACAGTCTGGGACCCATTGGGGGATGTCCGACTGCTGGCTTAGGTCTGCCCAGCTCGAGTAATACTGACATCGAACATC